ATATCAGCTCCCGTAGGCCCAAAAAACAGTGCGTGAGAGATGGAGACTCATTCATTTTAACGCTTTATTACCCCCTAAACAGCACTGACATCATAATGCTTATAATCAAGACATCATCACCCATATAAATAACTCTCGCTGAAATGACATAATCTGTCCTACGCAAGAACACTGATGCGTTTTTCTACTCTAGTAAAGCTCTTCCAATCCCCCTTCAGGCCAGTAAACGTCAGTCCTATCTGACTGACCCAGATCCTAGCGGCCAAGTAGGTCAGAATAGGATCTAAGTCAAGACACATTCCCATTCACAAACTCTGCAAGTGTATCATTATCATACCAAAAGACCTTCAAGAGTGTTAAAGCGGTGGGAAAACTTCAAAGAATGGTGAGAATACACAAATAAACATTTTTAGAGTAATAAACCTGCAAACGGCTTAGATGTAACTGTCTGTCTGTATATTAATTATGATATGAGAAAGTATTGAAGCATGAAAAAAAAAAACGTTTCTTTGAATTATAGACTTTATAAACTCTGTATTATTGTATTACCTGTATTATTATATGATATTTACAATATTATAATATTAAATTAATATATTCATATATTAATAATCAGTGAGATGAACATAATATAAATTCAGCACAATCATACTACTAACATCAATTGTTGAGGCCTATGATATCAGTGAAAAAATTTTAACGATTTTCTCTTCTAGATATGGCTGTCACACAGGGATACGTTTAGTGTTTAACCAACCTGTGATAACAGAAATAAACCAACAAAACCAAATAAGGAAAGCAACTAGGCCTAGTCAGTGTGTTTCCCTGAAGACCACCTTCCCCCCCAAATGGGAACTCTATCCTATCCTGTGAATCCACATCTACATCTAAAGGCCATAATAAGCCATTATTGGCTAATTATCAGATCAATACTCAACAGATTCAAAATAATGTCACATATTCATCAGGAATATTGAAAACTAGGCGAGTTATTTTAAATGATACAAATTCAACAGCGCCTATATGACCTTGTTGAACTCATAGTGGGTGAAATATAGAAAGAGGACCTTCAGGATGAAGGTTGACTTTGATATTTCTTTATTATATAAATGTTTTCTTTAAAACGTCACATTTTTGACAGAAAGTACAGACACATCTGAGAAATGTGGCTAAAATTAAACTCTTCCTGCTGTCAAAACATAGTATTATTTTTTAACGACTACATATGAACGTTTTCTTATGTTTAAAATCTATTTAACGTAATTATATAAAACATGTAATAAGTGAAGAATTGGGGCTTATGGTTATATCACAATAAAGAGACAATCGAATACATTGATACATTATGTTAAGAACATTAAATGTTGATGTTGTGTAGCAAAAACACATTGTGTTATTGATATTTCTCATCTTAATGATGAAATAATGGAACTATACTATATCAGATCGCAGTCCTACTGGGCGACAGCTAATGCTGTCTATCTCTTGCAGGAGTATTATCCTGTAATCTAGTGCAGGATTAAGACGTACTCCGACAGACAACCTCAATGTCCAAGGCAACTGATAAATGATTACACATTAATAAACCAGCTCACCAATGCCAGATCAATGTCAACAACAACTAAGTTAACAACCACACCATTAACGTTAGCATTTAGCCAGCAGACTGATGCTAACATTGGACTACAATCTGTTCCTGTTCGTAAACTGTCACAGTTTCTGTTTTACATTATACGTGGTAAACATCTCATATCTAACAAGAGGTTAGCATGTGGCTGCATATGGTGTTTTTGTTAGGTATAAGTGATGTCTGTTTTTGTTGTTTGGGTTTTTTTTTTTTTACCTGTTGTTCCTTGGGCTCCTCTGCTTTCCTTTTCCTGCTAACTGTTTTTCTCGCCATAGCCCGACACGCAGAGTTCCCTCACCCACATGGAGGGTAGCAGCGACGCTGGGAAGTGGATCATATAATGGCGATGGGGTTATTTCGGCGGCCTCTGGGCTGGTAAAGCGGTGCGACTAATCGAATCCAAAGGAGTCGCGTCGGCCGAGGATGAATTGAATAACCGCCCGACTCTGTTTTAGTGGCCGATCCACGATCCGTTTGATTGAGATCTTTTTCAGGGCAGGATTGTTTGTTTTCCGTAATCCGTATGTGTGGAGGAGCTACAACGGTACAGCTGCCCCTCCCCTGTACCGAGCTCACTTTAGTTTTCACCTATCTTCTTTCTCTCTCTCTATCCGTCGTTCTCCTGACAAAACGCGTCATCCGACAACGTACAGCGCCGCGCGCAGTCGCACTCTAGTCAAACATCAACAAAAACAAGGTCAACTGTACGCGTGCGCGACGGTTGCGTGCACGCGCACGCTCTACCTTCTGACGTTTTCACGGCCATGGTTTATTTTCTGCTTGTAAATGATTTAAGGGTAATATTAATGTTGTATGTTTTGTATACTTTGTATACTGTTGTTTTCATTTGAGCAATAAAAAAGAAGCTTGTAAATGATTTATTTTGCTGTAGTTATATATTCATGTCATTGTTACAGTTCTGTGCTTTTTTTAATTCCACAAAAAATATGACATATGTGTAATGTACATGTAGCATGTCATTTTTATTATTATAATTGGCTCAATTTGGCTGGATAAAAATAGTCATCAAACTCAAATTCAAGTCAACATTACGTTGTATTTGGTGGTCGTTATGTTAAGTTGTTAAATGTTATGTACATTTATAGACATAGTAATCGTAGTAGAAAAGTATTTATTCTTTTAAAACCTAAAGTCTATGATTTATTAGTGGCCTCGCTAAGTCAAATTATATGAAAGTAGATCATTGAAATTGACCTGTAACTTATTAACTTTTATAATGAAATATATAAACATTATATAAGCTTTTAATAAATTTTTAAGAGGAATATAAAGTACTAAACTTTGTTTTAAAAGGATGACTGAACAGTGAAGGAAAAGAGGAAATAAGTGTCCAGCACCTCATGAAGTTGGTTGAAAGAAAGTCCAGTGTAAAAAATCTACAAATCTACATACTATATTTAACTAATAAAAGTGTGGAAATTAACATTAATGAACATTAACATGCCCTCCTCTCTAATTATTGGTTAATATCTGAACGTGATGAAGATGTTTCCCCAGTGTCAGCATTGCCACTGGCTGATACACAATATGCTGTTCAACATGTGGGGTGTGACCTTTTTCTACCACTGGAAGTTTCACCATACCACCAATCTGTGCATTATAAACACCAGTGCAGTAACTGTAACAGCCACTTTTTTGAAAAGAAGATTCAGTTTTATCATACTGAAGTCTGAAATCATTTTAAATAAAAATAAACATTTTAAAACACTACACTTTTAAGAGCAACCGATCTGTCTGTGTATATACCGTCAAAACAAAAGCCCTCTTTTCTACCTGTCCATCAGGTTCAGCACATTTCCCCATTTACAATTATAACAATAGATCTGCATTTGAGCGCTGACTAACTCCAGAATGCTCTTTGTGATGCATCCAGCAGTGGGTTTGCTCTGTTCTTTTCAGCCTTTTCTAGTCTGTTCAGCTTAGATTGAGGAATGCTGACACAAAAAGTAGATAAGGAAGAACCCTGTTTACTTTATTTGAATAATCAATCCTGTGTGAACCTCTTGAAATCTGCCAAGAACATATGCAAGTGGTCATATTTCATTAAAAAAAAATGGATCAAGACAATTTCACGACTATATATATATATATATATATATATAGGGGTTGGACTAGGAAACTGAACACTTTTCAATATATTGTTGGAGGTTTCACGCCTATATCTTATGCTAGGGCTGGTGGCCAATCTTACATTCCACCATAAGAGTAGTGTGTGAAGGTTGAATTAGAAGAGTAATAGCACTGCTGTGCATCAAATTTTGCAATCCACACAACATAATGGGAGACATATCAGAGTTCAAAAGAAGACGCATCTGTGACCAGGACACCAAGTCTTTTTGGTGAATTGAGAGCTGTGGTATGCAAGGTAATGTCGGCATATCACCACGTAGGACGAACCACATACAACAGGAGTAACTGTTGAAGCTAGAAGAAGCTGTCTGAAAGGAATGTCCCGGCACTAACTCAGATTGTATCCATTATCCAAAAAACAGAAAAATTAAATGCCTTTTTGCTCGTCATGAGCTCCATTTAGTTAACATTCATGGTCAGGCTGCCAAACCTTTGGTCACTTGTGTCAATGCCAAGTCAGTTTCATTGCTGCCAACTGCCAACAGTGCAAATCTTGGACTGTGGACAATGTGAAACATGTTCTCTGATGAGACCACCGTCTTTTCCACATTCATGGGAGTTACGGTGTGGAGAAGCCCCAAAGAGGGTTAACTTCCCAACTGCTGCTGTCCAGAGTGATGCACGGAGGTGGATCAGTGATGGGTTTGGGCATGGCATTCCAAACTGTGCTTGATGGGCGCTGCCAAAGACAACCGATATAATCCGGAGGACCATGTGCACCCAACGGTTCAAACCTTATATCCTGAAGGAAGTGCTGTGTTTCAGAATGATAATGCACCAATACACACCAAGACTTGTTTGATGACCATGAAAGTGGAGTTGAAAATCTCTGATGGCCTGCACCGTCACCACATCTAAACATTTTTGAGACACTTTGGAGTATTTTGAGGAGATGTTTTCTTCCACCAGCATCACAGAGTGACTTTGCCAATGTTCTAAGAGGAATGGCTCAAAATCAATCTGGCCATTGTGAAGAACTTGTGTCTATCATTCCCAAGACGACGAATTGAAGTAGTATTGACCGCAAAAGGAGGCCCTACACCATACTAACCAGGTGTTTCAGTTTCATTGTCCAACCCTTGTTTTTATCTATATCTAGAGAGAGAATGTATGTTAACGTTATGGTAAATCATTAAAAAAAATCCTACTGTTCTTAACGCAAAGTTCATTTTCTTATTTTTTCTTTTAATTTTTGGGTGACCTTGACTACATGAGATCCACCTACATCAACAAGCACCCACGCCACACATTACAATTTAATCATGATTTTGAAGCAACACATGTCAAAATAAAATGCACATGGAAAGTGAGCTTAAAGAGGATGTTCATGTATCTATAAAGGTGAAAATTAAAAAAATAAAAACAAAATGATAACGCAGCACTTTTATTCATGATGAGCCATATGAGGTCCCCAAAAAACTATATATCTCCCCTCAAGAGACATCTTTCAAAAGTGATTCCATCTCAGAGGAAAGTGCTTGATATAATTTGAACAGTATCAACAGTAACACACTCATGTTTCTCTGGACTAACTTGATTGAGGTTGGTAGTACCGTCTCATGCCATGTAAAAGCATTTTACAACTGAAGACTGCTGTATATATGAAAACTTTAAAGAGTCAAATTAATGTATCTGGCTGCTGTGGCATTCAAAATCTAAATCTCAACTTGAATTGATGTGATGGGAACTGACACGAAGTAAAAAGAAAAAAAGAAATGGCACACTCACAATTTTTTAGGCAAATGTCACAAAACCTCTCAACAGGTCATGTTTCACTATAAAAAAAAACAAAACAAAAACCTTATTTTTAAAATAAAGTCTATTTCTCATTATGTATCATAAAGATCTCATAATTATTGCAATGAATTTTGTTTTTTTTCCACATTTTTTTGTTTGTTACAAAATTCAGTAAAACAGCAGAAGAAAAAAAGAAAAAGAAAAAAAAAACCCAACAACTTATTGGTTCTTAAAATAGGCTTGGTTTTCTCCAATAAACAAATAAATCTTTTTAGGAGGGGTGGAATATGACCTGGACATATTTTTCATGACATTCACCCTATCAAAACATATGAGGTTAGACATTGGGCTACATCTGAGCCAAAAAAAATTGTATTGGAGTCAGATATGTTAATAAAGTATGTCAGTAAAGTTCCTACATTGCACAGTTCAACTTTTCAACTTTTTTTCTGCTTTCCTCTAAAGAGAATACCATTATCTGAGCAAGTTGACCAGTATATTAACAAACACACAGTATACCTCTTTTGATCAAAGCTCCAAAAGTCCATTCAATGTGCCACAAGAATTCACAGTCTCACCTTCAGATCTATTGCACAACTTTCACTTAAGGACACTACTGTTCAAAAGTTTGGGGTCAGTAAGATCCATTCATGTTTTCTGAGAAGTCGTCTCTTATGCTCACCAAGGCTGGTGGCACCAAGGACCAAGTAAAACAGTAATACTGCTGTTACTAAAAATTCACATGTATACATTTATGTAAAAAAAAAAAAAAAAGAAAGAAATCTTGTCTAAAGTGTCACATGGTCCTTCAGAAATAATTCTAATATGCTGATTTGGTAACATTTCTAACCATTATCTAACTGAAAATGGTTGTGCTACCTAATATTTCTGTGGACATGTGGTTTGCAGGATTCTTTGATTTATTTGAAAAAGAAATCTTTCGCATAATAAATATAACTTGATCAATATTATGCATCCTTGCTTAACAAAAGTATAAATTTCTTTAAAAAAAGAATCTTACTGACCCCAAACTTATGAGTGCTAGTGTATACCTCCATTTGTCTTCTGCTTTGTCCAATAGATTAATGTGTTAACCTCAATAGGGTGTGTTAATGTTCTCAATTTCTTTATTACAGATGGAAGCCGACAGTGTATCTTTACAGTTCTTTAAATATGTTTATATTAACATCTGTGATTCAGTGTGCCTGTGCAGATTTGCATGTCATTTGTATGAGAACGTGGCGGCATCATTTCAAATTTTGCAGTTCCAGCCGAACTTACCAATTTCTCTTGCCGAATGTGTTCATTCCAGTGCAAAAGCCAACTGGGCAAACTTACATAATGCTGATTAGTTCTGTTAAAGCAGTTCCTAACCATAGAACAAAGAAACACAATCTCAAAAAAGGTCAAATGAAGAAAGATAAAGTATTTCCACCTGTCAAACATATAAACAATGTATGAACAAACAAACAGCAGAGACAGAATAGAGTGAGGGCACTTCAGTGGGGTTTCTGTTTAGCCGTGGGTTGTATTTATGAGTGTTAAGGTTTCAATTTTCGAAAGCCTGCGTCCAGCAGCGAGAGATGGCAGCGTAATAGCTTCGAGTGTCACTCCGAGTCCGTAATCTGTCAAACCTGGCGTCAATGGGGCTCCGCTCAATTCTGTTTCTCTAGTACCGCCCAGTCTAGTCTGTCACCATGGCAACAGAGACACTAGCCAATGCCGATTCTCGGGGACGGGTTTCGGCTCCTCCCACTCGTCACCGTTCTAAGATCACTTAACAGACATACAGCTGAAGAGGGATGAATGCACAGTTGAGCGGTGCCATCAATCCCTACTCCAAGAGGTATATCTTTATTAGGATACAAAATCAGTCGTCCTGTCTTAGAGATAAGAGAATCACATCCTTCCACAGCCAGGACCCCTCGGAGGGCCAGGGGAGGGGTGGCTCCAGTTGGACGGACCCTCGAAGCTCAGCTCGCAGCCGCCCGGGCCATCAGATCCTCCAGCGCCTTATCCTGGTCATTATTGTGCACAAGTAGTACCTCTTTAATAGTGTCTCTCTCAAAGCCCATTTCCCCAAACCTTGACATCAGCTGCAAAAACTCAAGAGCCTATGGGAGAGAATGTTGCATAAATATAACAACTCAAAAAATGAAAACGTCACCATTTACACACAACCCTTGTTCTGTTTCAAATATTGATGATTTTTTTTTTTCCATGGGATATAATGCAAAATGTCCAGAATGGGCACAAGGATCCAAAAATAACACACACAAAAAAAGAAACATAAGTAGCCAATATATTCCAGGCCTTCAATAGCCGTGTAATAGTAAAAAGTCAATGTTATTTATATTTACTGCCACATTTGAACTGAATTTTTTTTCTGAACTGCCATATTTAAACTGAATTTGATTAAATCTGATTTGATTAAAAATACAGTAAAAACTAGCCTGGGAAAACTCCAACAACTTCTGGCAAATTTAGATTTGCTCTGAAAGTTAGTCTGGCAAAGAGATCATTCAAGCCCATTACCAATCCGTCGAAATCGAGGCATGAATCTGAAACGTTGGGGCGGGCTTTACACAATGACGACAGCACTGGGATTTTGAAGCAGATTTTGTAGCCTACACTACAATGGATGTCGCCGTCGAACATCACTCGTTTGAACCAGCTATCGCGTCTGTTTTAAGCGATTTGAACGTTTCCTTTTTGATAAAAACCGAGCAAAGAACAACACTCGGAGATGTTTCTCTGCATACGTCATCTCCTTCATCGCTCTGATTGGTTTAAGGTATATCCGCAACATCCGTTGGTGACGCCCCTCTGGAAATGATTTGTCTATGATGCTTTGCCAGACCATAACTCAGTTAAAACTGAGAATGGTCTTAACCAGGCTAAGTAAAAACAGTAATATTGTGAAAATTACAATTTTAAAATGATTGTTCTCTCTCTGAATATGTTTAAAAATGTAATTTATTACTGTGATGCAAAGCTGAGTTTTACAGCATCATTACTCCAGTCTTCAGTGTCATATGATCCTTCAGAAAGCATTCTAATATGCTGATTTGCTTTCAAAAAAAAATTTAATCAGCAAGGTTGAAAAAAATGTTGTGCTGCTTAATATTTTGGTGGAAACCAGGATACAGGATTTTCAGGATTCTTTGATGAATAAAAAGTTCAACAGGACAGTAAATATTTGAAAACTAACCCTTTAATAAAACATGTTAATTATTATGAGCTAATGGTCTTTAAAAGTTTGACCTTTGATAAGACAAGTTTTGTACCTTTGCATCTGATATGAACTATCTGTTATGTTGCTGTGAAGAAATTACATTTACCTCACAGACTAAACAACACTTTGTTCTTACAAAGTACAAGTCTTTTTAACTTCTTTATAGGATCAGTGTTTTCAAGCACATGGAAACAAGTATAGATGCAAATGTATATTTAAATTAGACAGCCGATAGTAATTCAGTCTTTGTGTGTATGGCTAGAATTCACCAACCTTTTCCTCAGAGCCCTGGTACATCTCCAAGCACTCCTCCACAGCAGTCGCATCAAAACCCCGATCGCACAGTCGACTGTGAGTAAACAGATAGTCCAGCACCTACGAAAGAGAAAAGTGGCAAAACAAAGTAATTGAAGAGTCTCATTTAAACGTTTACATAAACAACACTAATCATTGAGTCTGGTAGTAAGGATAACCAAGCCTAAAAAGTGACCTGTTCCACTTCCACATTCTGTCCTTGTCTTTGCATGGCTCTGAGAACACCCTCGTAAGAATAACCCATGCCCACAATTGTCTCCACACACTGTCGTTCACTGGGAGAGAGGCCGAGAAGGATCGTGGCACCAGGCGGATGGTTAGTAGCCGTGACGGGGTTTGACTGCAAGGATGTTTAGAAGAAAATTAGTTGAACTATTTTCAACCTTGGCTCATTGGAAAAACGTGGCTCTTCCTACGTTGTGGCAAAACTGTAACATAAGTACATAATATAGATAATACTCACAGCAGTTTCCAGTTGAAATGGTCAATAATGGCAGTAAAACACCAACTTTTATGTTCTTTTTTCATAGAAATTATGATTACAGGGCAGACTATTGTAGATACTATATAGGGATACTCCACTTTTTTTGGAAATAGGCTCATGTTACCACTCCCCCAGAGTTAAACAGTTGGGTTTTGCTGTTTTCTAATCCATTCAGCCGATTTTTTGATATTTAGAAGAATATCAGTAATCAGACAGTTTCTGGTCTCATTGACTTCCATATTATATTTTTTTCCTACAATGGAAGTCAATGAGACCAGCAACTGGTTTAACTCTGGGAGAGTGGTAAAATGAGCCTATTTCAAAAAAAAAAGTGGAGTATCCCTCTAAAGTCCCACTGTAGTTAATCATTTTATCCCTTAAAATGTATCATTGATCACCAAAATCACATATTTAAACTTTATTTTTCGTGAAAAAAAATCTTTGTGCCTCAAAATAGATTGAATGTAACTCTGCATGTTAAAAACACCACATAGACATATAAACAACATTAAAAACTTGATTTTCAACACAGGGGGACTTTAAGAAAGACTTGATTTACTATGTTATGACTTGATTTGTAGAGAACGAATACATTTGGCATTCGCATCACATAACCAGCTCCATTTGTATGGATTTTATTCAAGCTGCTAGGCAGCCTGGACACCATGAACCAAATTTTCGCCTGAGATAGGGAACCAATCACAGAACGGGGAGGCAGTGGCAAGACAATGGACGATGTCTATGCGACACCGAAGCAGTTTATTTATATCTATGGATCCATCTTGGCAGCGGACACGAAGTTAACTTTTGATACAGCCTTTGTGTTCTTCAAATAAAAGCCCGGGCTTTTATTTTCCCAAATCGTCGAACTGCACTGGCTTGAATTTGAGACGGGCGTCTATATGAAACCAGCCTTTATAATTTAGTATTGAGATGTTGTTGATTGAGTCAGTCTATAATCTCAAAAAATCTCCAAATGCTCCACGTGAAACTGCGGCCTTCCAACCTTTTACTATTGATTCAATTGATTTGATTAATATGCACGAGAGAGAGAGAGAGCAAGACAGCGCTCGTGTTGTTTGATGACGTGAGGGGGTGCGCGCTTGCTCTCTCTCTCTCTTTCTGCTCGTTATGCGCCCTGTCAAGTGCAGCAGTCATTCTATTCTACATCACTCGCCCATCAAAATAGGCTTTGGCGGGTCAAAGATTTGCTTTGGTGGCCGCCAAAAAGCAGATGATTAGCAAGATTAACAACCCGAAACTAAAAAACAGACCCAGCCTCTATTTGAGAGCAGCTTTTATTTATCCAAACCTGCTGTCACACCAGGTGAGTAAAAGAGACAGGAGTCTATTTGGGATTCGGCTATTATTTGAAATTGTATGTTAAATATCCTAAATCTCTGACCCATCATCTTTTCTTTTTGTCTAATTATCTGGTATCATTGACCCGATTGGCTATGAGCTACGTACAGGCGCATTTATTTGATACGACATTTTGTAGCACCCAATAATACGGCACTGGGCATTCGTAAACCATGCCTCAAATACGAGAAAATTAACATGTGGTTTTCAGACCACGCTTCATTCTCAATGATACGTAGTCTGGCGTTAGCCAGGCTATAATTTTGCAGAAATGTCGTCACATTTGTGTTTTTCCGCTGAACCTGGGTTGACTATTTTACATGCTAACAATCAGCCCTGAAATGCAAATGTTTTCATCTATTTTACAATACCTGCTTCGTTGTTCCATTCTGAACATAGACAGGTTGCTCTTGGGGGACTGTCGTGTTGGTATTGGAAGCTGTTCTCTGCAGGGATGGTGGCATGCCGTTGGACAGACTGCGTGGTGGGTAAACGCTGAGAGGAGGTTCTGAGGGGGAGTCTCCTGGGTCTGAAAGCTTAGGGAAAGTCAGTGAGCGAATATTACATGGGCGGTCGGCATCAATCTGTCCAAGAGGAGTCCCCACAACCCCACCCCGTTCTAAGTCCAGCAGACCAACCAGTCCATTGGGTTTATGGAACAATCCTGCTTTGGCCTGAAGAGGAGGCGAACTTGGAGAAGTGGGCCGATTTTCGGCTGGAGGAAGCTGAGGAGGCGAAACGGACTGCGGTTGACTCTGAAGGATGTTTCGCAACTCTTCTTTGTCGTCCAGTGTCTTAAGCTCAAGTTTGTCAAAAGGGTCCTCCTCTCGCTCAAAGTCAGCTAAGTTCAGACACTGCGGGGCCGGGTTGCTAGGTGCTGGTCGCGTCGGTCCAAAAGAGGGGGCTGGGAGAGGCGTAAGGATTGCGTTGTGCCACAGGCCAGCTAAAACTGGGTTCAAAGCTGGTGGAAGAACGTCCTGCTCATCAGAGGGGCGAGCTTTCTTCCCCCCAACCAATCCGACATCTGCATCCTGAGCAGCAGCCTGCCTTTCATTTTCAGAGTCCACCTGGGCGACCTCCGCCGCTCGAGCTTCGGCGGCACGTGCTTTGGCAAGCTCCTCCCCCCACTGAACGCTCCGTCGCTCCAGACTGAAGTCATACTGGAGTAAAAGCAAAGCATTCATTATTTCTGACAAAAACACTTATGTGATGGAAAGTTAAAGGGAAAATCTGACTTACTTGCAGATCTAAGAGTTTGGCATTACAGTCGGACAAAGAGAAGCCAATGGGAAGACCCACTTTTGAGGGACAGCGGAATTTCTCATTGAGCTTGAAGGGAACATCCTCAAGGTAGCTGACGGGTCCTTGAAACATCAAAGTAACAGAAGAACAAGGAAACGAAATGAGTTCAAATTATTCATTTAAAATGTTGCATTATCTGTTTTGTTGTCTTTTTAAAATATAATAAACAGTCATGACAGCTAATTGGCTGACTCACCGTTGTTGTGGATATCTGATCCAGACTTCCTCGCAGCCATTTAGAGTAACTAAAGAAATAAACAAACGACATAAATTCACACAAACTGAGCACAGTTACCTATTTTCTCTTCCTTGTACTTTGATTTATTTTTACATAAGAAATTACTATATATGTATATATATCCAATATCACATAAGTAAGCCTTACTTATGTGATTTTGGATATATAAATATTGTAATTTAAAGGTTTGAGAAAATCTTTTGGTACTCTGTTACAATTTGTTGAGAAATACAAGGAAGACAGAAATAGAAATTGTTTAAAATAACAACAGAATTGCTGTTTGTGAGTGATCATGCCAACACAATACTAAAGAGATTTAAGATTCTAATGAAATAATATGCTATTTAAATTCAACGTTAAGAGCTATAGTAATCTTACTATTGGTCTTAAATACAAAGAATCACACAAACTAAATTGAAACTATGTCATAATCAATGGAAAAAAGTTTAACCTACATTATACAAGTTTGGTGTCAGTACAATTTTGAAAATGGTTTTGAAAGTTATTTCAGTCCAGGACGGTATTTATTTGATTACAATAAAGCAAATTCAGGAACATCATGAAGTATTATTACAATTTAAGATTAAATGTATTCCCTGATGGCAAAATGGTTGTTGTTGAATGCTGAAAACAGAGGGGATATTTTGTTTAGGACTGCTTGATGACATGAAAGAACAAGAAAATGAATTAGAAATAAAATCTTTTATCCTGACTGAATAAAAGATAAAATATTAATTTATTTTTTTACTCTAATAATGTATTTTGTACTTGTAGTATTAAGTTTAACAGTTAACATTCCCAAAACAAATATGGGGGAAAATACAAAACAGTTTTCGTTGTTGTCAAATGATTTGATTTCGTCAAAATGTAAAAAAAAAAAAAAAAAATGGCTGCATACTGGTAATCGGATACTGTCAAACACTGTCAAAAAATAATGTCAGATGACTCAGATCACTAGAAAACAAAGCATAGTCCAAACAGCATTAAGTCACAAGCATCGCTTGGATTTTTCTTTTGAAACTGTAAACACACGCGCTTCTACATTTACAGGAAGTTTACAAACTATAACATTTCAATAAACTAAGCCCGAATGACAACCTACTTCATGATAACCAGGGAGGGAAGGAGGGAACTACCCCATAACTGTATCACATGCTGATAAAACCGGTTCTGAAGTCATTTCACCAGCCATGATGTCTTACATAAAAAGCATAACAGCTGATCGTCTGTTAACTACAGTCAACAGATTTGTTACGTAGCTACTAACGTTATAGAGAATGAAAAATTCATACAGACAGCAAGCTATATGAGTCCAATACCAGTTTAAATTCAACAATACACCTTTAGATATACTAATGAGAGATTCTTTCGAAGTTGATTTAACGTTATATTTAAATTGCATGATGAAACATATTTATTCCTGGCTTTTTACCAAGCTACTACGATTTTCTATTTTCGATCTGACATGTCAATCAAATAACGAAAAGATTTATGACCTAAAAACAACGATTTGGTACTTAATAACTAGAGAAGTAGAGAAATGAACGTGTAAGTTACATCTGGTTAAAAACAAAGTCTAGTTTTGTTTCAGTTCAGGTTAGTGAAGCGACCTAACAGGCCCCGACTTCCTCTGCCACCGCCCCTCAAACTCTCCCTGCGCGTCCCACCGGTGTCCTTACCAATATCTGCTCTGTCTTCAGTCTCCGAATAAGTCTCTCACTTGTCCTCGGACATACAAGCTCCGGTCGACGCTCTCAAATGAGGAGATTTACTGAAAACCGAGTATATTTCCTGCTTCATCGCGGAACGCCATCTTGGTTTGACCGCCTCCTTCGGTTCCTGTGTGACGACATGCGTTGCCACTGAATGATTACAGATTCGACCAATCAAATCAGCGAGGAGCAGTTGAGGAGACGTCATCTGTGTCGGACTTTGCCCATGAGTTTAGCACGGGTTTGAAAATGGATGTTTTGATATATTTTAGTTTGTTGGATATTGTTGGTTAGTGAACTATTATAACCATTAAGTAAAACATTGATAAAATAGATCATCTGTGTTTGTCCATATACTTTCAAAAAGTAGATCAGTTATTTCTATACATCCATCCATAAGGCTATACATTACAGTCCGATCAACTTCCTAAATAGACAAAGTAGCTCATTTTGACACAATATGGATGATAAACAGCTCAACATAGTAAGGCTTTTTTGAGGGAATTTTATTTTATTACTACCTGCTTACTATCTTATTCTTATTACCTACTTACTATATAATTTTACATTTTAACATTGTTAAACTTGTCACTATATATATATATATATATATATATATATATATATATATATATATATAAACCATTTAAGTATGTAAACATAAGAAAGTAAAATAGATTTTTAAAAATACTACTAATAAAAAACAATATTAAAATGTAAAAGTAGGGGGAATAAAATAAAATTCCCTCAAAAAACCCTTACTATGTTGACCTGTATATCATCCTTATTGTGTGTATAATTATATATACACTACTACCTATTTAATAATGCATAAAATATGCTTTGTACGCTACTTATGTAATACATAACTCTATGTACTATGGACACTTAATAACACTAACCCCAAGTTTCACAGACAAGGGTTAAGCCTAGTCCCAGACTAAAAAAGAATTGAGCTGTTTTAACTTAAACTAACTTGCAGTGGCATATATATATATATATATATATATATATATATATGTGTGTGTGTGTGTGTGTGTGTGTGTGTGTGTGTGTGTGTGTGTGTGTGTGTGTGTGTGTGTGTGTGTGTGTGTGTGTGTGTGTGTAATAACAGAATACAAACATACAAAAAAGATATAATATAATAATTATATAAATTACATACAGAAAAAATATAAATTAAACATTTTGATACATTATAAGAATTGCATGACACTGAAAAAAGGAAACCGATTACAAACAGATGTTTTTAAGGCTTTCTAATTTTCAGACAACTTAATTGAAAATAGATATTTTTCAAGTTCTTTCACAAATTTAAGAAAGAGAGGTTTGGCATTTATTTAGATTTATGAATATGGAATTTTGTTACTAATCACATTAATTAGCCTATGTAAAAATGACATTTTTTAGATTTATCATAATCAACAAAACCTTGGATCACATCCTTCCAATACAACAACACACATTCATTATAGATTTCAGACCAATAAATACTAAAACATCTTGCCAAAACATTTTCGTAAATGGACAATGCCAAAAAAAGATGAAGTTCCATCAGTGTTGTCACAAAAAGAGCAACTGGAGGAAATATCTTTTTTGAACTTTTTCAGATAGTGATTTGCAGTTATGAGTTATTTTAAAAGAAATCTCTTTTACTTTATTGGTTAAAAAAAAGAGATGTGGAAGCATCCATACTTTGTTTCCAACAGATATTACCAACTAAATTACTCCAATAAGCGGTCACAGGCGATAAAGTAACAATGTCATGCTAAAATAGTGAACGGACTGATCTATTATTGTTTTTATTGGGAGAAGCAAAGCACAATTTGCCAACAGGAGTATTGACCAAACTCAGAGAGACTGGAACCTAAAAGTATATTACAGCAGACAGACAGTACAGTTGAGTGTCTTGCGTCATGACGCACACACGTAAAGACGTATTCAGGCACGCACTGTGATAACCGGAAGCATCTATAGATGCGATTGAGAAACGGCGAAAGAAATCATCACCTGTCGATATCGTTCATATGTATCTCTTCTGCGCTCTCTTTAATCTCCATATCCCACTACCATAACACCCATACCATTACGTTAATTCGCTGTCGAGTCGGTCTGGACGGATAAAGCAGAGTTTGCAGTGTAATTCTGTGCGCAAACGGGGGGTTTTGAAGGTGCGTTGAAGCCTCGCACCAGAACAAATGTAAACAAGCAGCTGATCAACTGTGCGGCCGAAGACCCGCAGCGAAACGGCGTGATGACAGCGACCTGCAGGGTTTGACTAACATATTCTGCATCACATAAAGCGAATTTAGAGGTTTAATTGCATGCTGTAGAGTTTTTAGACGTTAGGATAGTACACGAGGACAACTCCCGACCCATCGCCTTCACCTCCATTACGGGCAACAGCAGATACAGAACAAACGGCTGCTTTATTTTTTGTACTGTTTGTAAGGGCGATAAATTGATTGATTTATGTTTATTTCTGCTTGAAGACTGGACAACCTCACGACGAAAAGCAACAGGATTCGGGAAATAACAAAGGAAAATTGAGGTTAACAATCCCTTCTGGGCCCCAAGGAATAAATAAATATTAGCAACGTATTAATATTTACATGACGCTGGAAGTTTAGGGAACTCATCATCACATTTCCTGGGGAGCTACGCTGGTAATGAACAGTCTATGTTTTTATTTATTACTTATTACTTACTAATCTAATCATAAATTTGTAAACAAGTGTTTTTGTTTTCTTCTTTCTTTTTGCAATGTCTTTACCTCTCTCTCTCTCTATATATATATATATATATATTTATATATATATATATGTGTGTGTGTGTGTGTGTGTGTGTGTGTGTGTGTGTGTGTATGTCTGTGTGTGTATAAGACCATTTTGAAAGTTGTAAACAACACTGGTCCAGAAGCACTTCCTGTTTCAGTTTTTTAACACTACATAAAAGCTGGGATAAAATACAACCAACAGAACATATAAAACTGAATCAAAAAGTAAAACAAACATCTTTAAGATGTTTTCTTTACATGTGAAATAAGGAAAACAGTTACAAACTAAGACGTTATGACATCATTGTTGTCATAATGGAATTGCTAAAGAAAACTATAAAATAATATATTATTCTGTAAAAAATATCCACAGTAAGGCTGAACGATCTGGACTGTCATGGCACACCAGCAGATGCCGAGCTCTCAGAAGGCTCTGATGCTGGAGCTGAAATCCCTGCAGGAGGAGCCAGTGGAAGGTTTCCGCATCACTCTGGTGGAGGAGTCGGACCTCTACAACTGGGAGGTGGCCATCTTTGGCCCTCCAAACACACTTTATGAAGGGGGCTACTTCAAGGTAAGCCTGAAAAATGTTCTTGAATGCTTACCATCGGACCAGGGTGTTTCGAGTCAGATCAACAATCACATTTTTTATGATTCTATTTCATTTTATACTATATATCACACACCACGTTCTCCCATGTTTTGCAATCCCTAGTTCTTATCTCCCTGGTGGTGTGTTCCTTATACTCTAGATCGCTATTAATAGCCTTGACAGATATTAATGACATCTCAATATGAGAGCTAAAAAGAGAAGGACAGTGTGTTTCAACCATATCCCCCGTAGTTATTATTCTCAGTGGAATATTATCAACTGCAATAGTCAGTACTTTTACAGTAACGCATCATCAACTTTACCACAACAGAGTTCCTCTGCATTCAGAGTTAAATTATTGTATCATAACAATGCCACAGGTCACAGTCTTTGGGGATGTTTTGATATTTTGAGTTCATGGTGGCAAATCAGTGTGACGGACTCGTATAGTTTTGAAATGTTTCTTTATGTGCACATAAAAATAAACAATAAAATAAAAAAATTCAGTCCCTAAAAAAACTTGTTTGTAGGTTGAATCCCTTATGAGTTTTGATCACCTTTTTGTCTGAATTGTAAAACATTCATTATTTGAATCAATGTGGTGCAGTTTAATGTAGGTTTAGCTGGGTGATATGTTGTACAGCATGTTTTGGGGAAGATCATGGTATCTTTGTGAGCACAGGCTTGGGTTCCACCCATCAGACAAAGTATTTGCATGGATATCAATTTAGCAATTTTGGTGAACAGCATTTCTAGTTTTTTATACATCAAATGTAATGTTAATTTTTCTTGATATTTATGCAAGGTTTCCTAAAAAAAAAGTTTTTCTGGCTTCAAAGAGCTGTTTCATTTGTTCCCATTTATTCCTAATGATCCCTAATGATGACATTACATTGTTACATTAGGTACATTACATTAGGTTGTGGTTTTCTAAGACTTTCTACGTTTTTGACTGTGGCACAGATCTTCATTCACGCCGTCACAGTCACGCTACACTTAATCACCAGCCAGTCCATCTTGTCCGATACACATGATTTAGAAATGCAGAGCAGCAGCAGCACCGCACTCATGTTCAAAGCAATAGTTTACCCAAAAAAATGACAATTCTCTTATTATCTGCAGGGCTTCGAACATCAAAAAGGATGTAGTAAAAAATTACCATAAAAGTAGTCCATATTACTTATGGAGTATATTCCAAGTCCAACAAGTCATATGTTAGATTGTTATGAGGAACAGACTGAAATTTAAAAATTAGTTTTCACTGTTATTTACTGCAAAGTGCAAACCATGTGAAAGCTGCCATAGCTCTGCTTGGAGTGTTTGTGAGCAATTTCTGAACGAACAAATACATTTTATTTATATTATTCTGAAATCAGCTCCTAAATCAGACTTATTGTAACACTCAATTATCTGGTCCGAGTGACAGGAGGGGAAGATAATGTTAAACTTTAATGATTTGGTGTTTTTTTGTATTTTTTTGCAGCTTGAAATACACTGTTTATTGCTTCTGAAAGCTAGTGCGCTGTTCAAAATTTCTCCGTTTGTGTTCCATGTAAGAAAGAAAGTTGTATTTGGTAAATAATGTAGAATTTGAATTTTTGGTTGAACTAGTCCTTTAAAACAGTACTCCTAGCCAAATAACCTATAACTGCTCTCACAGCGATTGCAGTTGTTATAACAAAACTCAAAGCCACAATCACTTTCAAAATCACTATTGTTATAATAACTATAATCACAAAAGTCAGCACAAAACAGTACTGTATCAACAGTGGACTGAAGAGAGTGCAGCATTTAACTAAGCAACTGCCCGGTCGTCTCAAGCTCCCTTTTGGCACCATATCAGAAACCTGATGAAGAGTACATGATGTTGAAATTCATGAGGATTATATTTATACCAACCCTTTTAGTCTAATGTGTCCTTTCCATTTGAGACTGATTTACAACAGCTCATTTACTAGCTATGATACAGCTCACGTGCAAGCTAATAATGATCCATGTCTTTTTCCCCAGGCCCATATAAAATTTCCTATTGACTACCCTTACTCTCCTCCGACTTTCCGATTCCTCACCAAGATGTGGCATCCAAACATCTATGAGGTGAAAATGCTTGTGTGTGTGTGTGTGCAGTTGATGCATGTTTACTGCACCACCAAATGGATTACAACAGCTTAAAACTTACATTAGTAATCATATAGTAACAATGCTGCAATTGTTGCTTAATATATGTCTCTCAACCCCAGAATGGCGATGTTTGTATTTCCATCCTCCATCCTCCTGTGGATGACCCTCAGAGCGGAGAGCTGCCCTCGGAGCGATGGAACCCCACACAGAATGTCAGGTATTGGGGTGAAAATACCCACAATTATCCACAAATCTCCCTATATATACACTACTGTTTAAAAGTTTGGTGTCAATAAGGTTTTTTTATTCTTTTATTCAGCAAAGGTGCATTCAATTCTGTCAGTATTTACTCACCCTCATGTTGTTTCAAACCTGTGTGAATTTCTTTCTTCTGCTGAACACAAAAGAAGATATTTTGAAGATTGTCGGTAACCAAATATTTTCTTGGCCCATTTGGTTACCCATATTCTTAAAAATATCTTCTTTTGTGTTCAGCAGAAGAAAGAAATTCATACAGGTTTGGAAAAACTTGAGGGCGAGTAAATTATGACATAATTTTAATTTTTGGGTGAACTATCCCTTTATTAAAAGTGACTGTAGATATTTATAATGTTCAAATAAGTTTCATATAAATGCTGTTCTCTTGCACTTTCTTTTCATCAGAGAATCCTGAAAAAAATCTATTAACACCAAAATACTAAGTTGCATAAGTGTTTTTAACATTTATAATAATAAAAATAAATGTTTTTTGGGCAACTAATCAGCATATTAGAATGACTTCTGAAGGATCATGTGACACTGAAAACTGGAGTAATGTATTAAAGTAATTAGTAATGTACCCCAAATGTATTAAAATATTAAAACATTTATTTTCAATTATAATAGTTCACAATATTACTGTTTTTGCTGTATTTTTGATCAAACAAATTAAGACACTTATTTCAAAACATTAAAAAAAATGTTACCTACCCCAAATTTATGGTAGTGTGTGTGTTTGTTTGCAGAACAATCCTGTTGAGCGTGATCTCACTGCTGAATGAACCCAACACCTTTTCTCCTGCAAATGTGGATGCTTCGGTCATGTTTCGCAAGTGGAGGGACAGCAAAGGCAAGGACAAGGAATATGCAGAGATTATAAGGTACCAATACTTTATCATTTAAACTAGTTGCATTAAAAACAAAGTCAGCTTTTTCCATCAAATTATATTAAGTTTAAAGTCACCTTTTTCCTGCACTTGAATTCGTTATATATTAACAAGATTTTCCAATTGTATTTTTTTTGTTGCATTTTTATTTGTTTCAACGCACAATGTATAAAGTGCATAAAGTTAAATGAATAATATATTATTTGAGATGCTAGCTAAAGTTTTTAAACTTCAGTGTATAACTTTTCCTGCACTGTCTATGCTACTACAGAACTAAATAATATTTTAAAGTGTGTGGCTTGTTGTATCTGACTTACAATTGTAGCCTATCGAACCGTAAAACGTGTGGAAAAAAAATTCCATAGACTTACTTTGAAGTCTCTTGCAACTGTATATCAATGTTCTAACGGCAACATGAGGATCTACAACATAGCAGAAATACTTACATATTCTTCAGGAAATGCCAAAATTGAATTATACCACTGAAGTGGCAGAGATCTAGAGTAAACATTATCTGGGGTCAAATTTTGGCCCAACACACTTACATTGCACCATCCCACTGAAGTTTAGGACATACTGTCCTGGGTGTCTTTGGGCAAGTAAACAACTTTTTGAAAGTTTGAACTTTTCTCTTATTGACATTCTTTTCTAACAAAACATCCCTTAGTAGAAAACTTGAAAAAGAAGTGAAATATAGAGTAATGTTCAAAACTTTTTATATATATGTTTTTGAAAGAAGTCTCTCACCAAGGCTGCATTTATTTGATCAAAAATACAGTTAAAACAGTAATGTTGTAAAATAAGATTGCAATTTAAAATCAGTGTTTTGTTCATTTTAATGTTGATTTATTTCTGTGATGTCAAAGCTGATATTTTTTAGCATCATTACACGTTTTCAGTGTCACATGATCATTCAGAAATCATTCTAATATGGTGATTTGATGCTTAAGAAACTTATTATTATCAATGTTGAAAACAGTTTTGCTGCCTAACATTTTTGTTGTAACTGCAATACTTTTTTCATGATTCCTTAATTAATAGATAGTTAAAAAAAAAAACATTTTTTATTTGAAATAGATAATATTGATAATATTATAAACATCTTTACACTCACTTTTGATCAATTTAATACATCCTTGCGGAATAATTTCAAGTCGTGCCACTCGGCCTCCATTTTGGCAACACATCCGGTAACAATACATCCGGTAGCTGTAACAATAAACTGAATTGATTTTCTGACACTGTGTCTGCGTCGTGCACAGGAAGCAGGTGATGTCCACTAAGGCAGATGCAGAGCGGGATGGAGTAAAAGTACCAACTACGCTAGCCGAGTACTGCATCCAGACCAAAGTGCCTTCCCACGACAGTAGCTCCGACCTGCTCTACGACGATCTTTATGACGACGATATAGAGGAGGATGAGGATGAGGATGACGAGGCAGAGGCCGTTGGGATTGGCAGCGAAATGGCCGGGGACTGTTTTGGCGATGAAGACGACTCTGGCAATGAGGAGTCTTGACCTCCTTCCACCATTTCCGTGACACTGACCTTTTCCCTCACACTATTCTTTACCCCTACAGCCTCATGTTTCAGATTCTCTTTTCCTATGCTTAAAGCTTTCATTTTCACTCTGAAAACCCTTCAGATCTCTGTCCTTATAGCACCTGCCACCTCCCTAAAGTGCACCATGGGTTCATAAAACCAGTCATTTGTGGTTACATTTCACATCCCACCTTCTCCTGCCTCTTAACCTCAGGGCTTTTGGATATTCAGAGCTTGTCAGGCCACCTTAAACATGTTCTTTTTAAAAAAAAAAATTAAAAATTTTAAGGGCTAGTTCCCACAAAAATTTTAATTTTGTCATGATTTATTCGCCCTCATGTTGTTCCAAAACCTGTAGGACATTCTTTCTTCCGTGGAACAAAAAAAATTGACATTTTTAAGGATGTTTGAGCTGCTTTTTCCTAAAAATTAAAACAAAAAAATCCCTGTTTTCGAATATGCCTATTTTCCTGCTAAATAGTAGGTGTTGCTCCGTAGTCCGGACATGAAAATAGTTAGTCTGAATTCATAGTATTGATACAGTAAATATCTGGATGACCTATTACTTCCAGCGAGATTCTAAAGTGAGCATCTGATGGACACTTTACTATCCCATGAGGCCACAGGAGAGGAGTTGTGCCGTTCACAAGTAACATGACAGTTGCAAAGTTTGTTCTTCGTCAAATGTACTATGTGATTTCAGACAAGCTCCTAAAACGACACTAAAACACCATAATAGTACGACTAGTGAGCTATATTCTGAATATTTTGTAGCTATACGATGGCTTCAGAAGAGGAAAAAGCCAAAACTTAAGTTGTTATTCATTCTAAAATTTCATTGAAGCATTCATGTGGCAAATTTGCTTGATTGTTGCGTGTTTCGTAACCGAATTCAGTGTACCGGTTTCAATCAAGGAAGCCACACAGGTTTGGAATGACATGAGGGTGAGTAAATGATGATAATATATATATATATATATATATATATATATATGAGGTAACTAACCCTTAAAGGAGTAGTTCACTTTAAAAAAAACTTTGGCTGATAATTTACTCACCCCCATGTCATCCAAAATGTCCATGTCTTGCTTTCTTCAGTCGAAAAGAAATTAAGGTTTTTGATGAAAACATTCCAGGATTTTTCTCCATGTAATGGACTTTCCTGTTAACCAAACAGTTCAAGGTCCAAAAGACAGTTTCAGTGCAAAGTTTCAGTTCAAAGGGCTTTAAATGATTTCAGACGATGAATAATGTTCTTATCAAGCGGAGCAATCGCTCATTTAAAAAAAAAAAAAGTTAAAGTTTTATAAGCTCAAGTGGTCGCCTTGCTCTGTTCTGTGATGAGCGTTCATGACTCTCCTGTTCAAACTCATTCATCAAAATGAACAAATCTTATTCCGAGTCAATTCGTTCATTTCGTTTGTTGATCTTCGTTCAAAGATTTGTTCATTTTGATGAACGAGTTTGAACAGGAGAGTCACGAACGCTCATCACAGAACAGAGCAAGGCGACCATTTGAGCTTAAATTTTTTTTTTTTTTTTTATAAATGACCGATCGTTTCGCTTGATAAGACCCTTATTCATCGTCTGGAATCATTTAAAGCCCTTTGAACAGTTTGCACTGAAACTGTCTTTTGGACCTTGAACCGTTTGGTTCCCATTAAAGTGCATTATTTGGAGAGAAATCCTGGAATGTTTTCATCAAAAACCTTAATTTCTTTTCGACTGAAGAAAGAATGACATGGACATCTTGGATGACATGGGGGGTGAGTAAATTATCAGCAAAAGTTTTTTTTTTTTTTTTTTAAAGTGAACTACTGCTTTAAACTCATCCATTTATGCCTGGTAAAATCACCAACAAATGAATGTTCTGTTCTTTTCCCAGATTTTCAAGTATGTACAGATTCTTCATAACTGTCTTTACAGTATAGGGCTTCACTGATTCCTCTCTACAGTATGTACCTAATTTACCACTTTTCCCCTAAAAAAGGTAAGTATTCAAGGGTGGAAAAAATGGACAATGAATAGACTGTTTCTTCTTCATACTATTTAAGTGTCATCCACATCAGCAGGGTCACCTTCACAACTGCTAACTACATGCATCCCTTTTATGCACAGCTCGTACCCCCAAATCACTTAAGCTTTTTGAGCCATTAAATCACGGTGTCAAATTATATGGCACATGAAGGTGCTTTCAAGTGCTCAGCAACACAAGCATTACAACTACTTCCAACACACCTTCATTCGCTGACCCAGATACTATGATGAGACTGTTTAAGTCACTTCGATGATGTCCCGCGTTTGGCTCCGAATATTTGAACCGATTGATTTTGGCTGAAGGTAATCATACTGTTATGCTTTTAAGTGTACACTTAACACTCTTGGTAAGTGATCACGTATGACTGTCTGAGCTGCTGTACCAAACCATTTCTATTTCTCCTTTTTCCTCACTGATTTTGAGGATAATCTTGGGTGTTTAAGTTCGGGGTTCGAGATCAGTGACTGCTGAGGACATTTCGCTTACCAATGTGAGCCCTCTCATCCCCGGTCTTATGCTTTTTTTTGCGTTGGCCACGGTGGGCCGTAGCTTTCAAGAGCATGCTTGTGTGTTTTAATGTGTTTTATATGATGTGTCAATCATCCAATGAGGCACGCGAATCCCTGAGGTCTCTCATTAATGGGGGTGGAAGCATATACGTTTATGCACATGGGGTCTCAGGTACACCTTTATTCCCGCAAACCAGCCAAGGACACGGATGCTGATTCCTCGTCCTACGAAACCCCTCCAAAAGGGAGTGTGGATCTGAGGATCTTGAGGGAACGGTGCTCTCTTATTTTGCCGAGCATCTGGAACTCACTGAACTATCAAGAACAATCCTTCCAGACTCGATCGCTCTTTGAACCTCTGGACTATGAGCCAAGGTGGCTCAACGGGGACGTGAATCGATTAAAACGGACTGGATTTTTCACGTTCAGCAAGAGACTCTTGGTGTATTTACACCCCTGTGCACAGCAAAACAACCAAGTTCATTTCAAAGTGTTGTGACATTAGTCGACAGTGGATTTGTCTTGAAGGATTTTATTATTTGTGTCATGATTGTTTTTAATGTTTCATTAAGAATTTTTTGTTTTGTTTTTCATATGCTATTTCTTAGACAGGAATTGTGGTCCTGTCGAATTCCTGTCGAACAGCCGAATTCATTATTTGCTCTTAAGTTCAATGCATTTCCTTTTTCTTGTAATGTTAAAGGGAATATCATTCTAAAGATTCACGTAAAGAAAAATGGAAAAACAGTAAGAATGAATCGAAATTGATCCCTATTTCTATTCTAAACATAAGTATTTGAGTTTTGTGGTGAGGGTGTGGGGTGGGTGGGATGTCCAGTATGATCATTTTTAAGACTGTGCTTGTATGATCACAATTCAATTCATTTTTGTTTGTGTGTATGTACAGGAGTTGATGCTCCTTAGCAATTAAACAATTAGACAACACATTTATAGGTGCTTTCAGTTAATGACAGTGTTGTGATTTTTAACTAAAACCATTAAAAACATTCTTGTTAATTGAAATAAAGCAACTAAGGTTTAAACGCAAGTACTAAAATAATTTAGAAATATATATTTTTTTAAATAAAAAACATTTAAAATTAAAACATAATTTAACAAATGAAAACATCAAATAAAAGCTTGTTTAAAATATTCAAAACTGTAATGTATAAATAATACTAAAATGGCACTGGTTCATGAGCATTGGTTTTTATTTACTGGCTTCATTATAGGTAATTTAGAACAATTTGCATGATCCAGGAGCCCACAAAATAACCTTAAATAATTTCTGATTCACTTATATTGTTTAATTACTGGTCACCTAAACTGCGACTTGGGAAAAAATGTACAGTATGCAGATAAACTTATGCAAACAAAAGTGATAATTAGATGGGATAGTTAGGTGTATAAAAAGTGACCATCCATAGACCACATTGTCTTCTCTCGCAAGACATTTTTCAGGTTAAATACAATGTAAGATTTATGAGGCACACTGTTGATTACCACAGATTTTTTTTTTTTTTTTTTTGAATATGTAGCAGCAGCTTGGCGTCCTTAGAGCTTAACTTACATGTTTCCATCCACTTGTCAATCGAATTATCTGAAATTCGGTTAAAAAACTCATGCGGATAAAGCTGGTGAAAGTGTGTTTCCATCCAACGGCTTTAAAGCGAATAAAAACCTGTACGTAATGACGTCACATGCTGTTTTGCGATCAAATTGGTATATCGAATTGATTTGAGACATTTCAAGGTGTTTCCATTTATTTTCGCACTGAATCGAACAACATTCAAGCAAACTTTTGCGAACAAAGTTTTGTTAGACAAAACGGATCGCGCCATCTACCAAAAAATGATCAATATTTCAGAAGTTGAAGGCTAATAATAATGCTTATGTGCCAGCTGATAGCGACATATGAATGGGATAATGCGAGGCCGTTGTTGTATTCGCCTCACAACCGCCTCGCTATATATTATCCTGCTTATTACATATAAATCAACCAAATAAATAAATAAATCAATCATTTGACACAAAATATTGACTCAAAAACGAGTTTATTGATTTAAAAACGAGTATTGCTTCTGCTAAATAAAATAGTCTGTTCCGTCTCTGAACTGCGTCCATGGCAACGGTGTGTAACAGACCACATTCTACATTAGAATTCAACCAAGCCACGTAAAAACAAGCAAAACTAACCCAAGAAAACAACGACGCTATAAACATTGCTATGATGATGCGATGCCGATGCCCGACGACAGCGGAGGTGACTGTGGTTTGGGAACGAGCGCTCAATCAGTTCTGGGAGATCGTGGTTCACGGAAACCCTTTGGTTGAAGCATCTTTTTGCTTTGTCCACTTGCATCTATCTTTGTTGACATCCGCCATGTGTGCGCAAACAGACTGGCCGGAAATGAACTCGTCTTCTGACGTGTTGCAACCATAAAAGGGCATAACTTAATCGCAATTAATTATTTATTCGGCAAATAACGTTTCCATCAGTTTTTATCGCATTAGCCGTATATCGATCAAGAGAAAATTCGATGAGACCGAACGTATTTCATTTGAGTCGATTTTCATGAAATTTCATCGAATTTTACTGTTTCCATAAGGCTTTTTTCATTCGATATCACTTGATT